GGGGGAAATTTTACTTTCCCAAAACCCAAACCCGAAAGAAACCCTGTTGTAAATCTTGCAAACAAAGGGACCAGGAAGCTTACAGCACTTCGCCCCCTATCTCGCCTCTGCTTGACAGTAGGGGGTTTCAAACCCTGAAAGAAAGGGACAAGTACGCTCACCCCCTTGAGTATGCTCCACTTTCCCTTTGGTTTTTTCCCCGCCCCCCCTTTTACTGGACTGCTTGACAGAGGGAGAACAAAAGCAAGACGTTCACTCTCGCCTGGTCCCAACCGGATAGATCCGTCATTTCACAGGGGCCTTCCCAAAATAGGAGGGATGTGGGTGGCCGAAATGTTATGTACAAGGCCAATAAGTCAAAAAACCACACTTGGATCCACTTCGAGGGCAGCGTTTAAACAAACTTTTAAACCACAAGCGGGCAGAAAGCAACAAATTTTTACAATCTAGCTGTAAACCCCTTTTCCAGAACATCACTCCACTGAGAAACAAAAAAACCCAGGATGACCGAGTAAAGGAACACATTCGTAAGGGTTAAAAGATGTCAACGAAATAAAGTCCCTTGATCAAAAGAAAATGCAGGCCCACAGATGGCTCCAAAAATTCATCCGTTCCCTTTCTTGTATGTCTCATAACAAAAATGCTTTCAAAAGAAACGATTTAGGGTAACATCCTTACTTTCCCAATAAATTAGGAATCCTTAAACCCCGTAAATAGCTTTTCAATTTAAAACTAGGGATCCTTAACCCTTTTCAAACCCTGGTAAAAAAAAAAAATTTACAATAAAGTAAGTTTGAAAAAACCCATCAGAAAAGGCGTTCTCCAGTACTTTCCTAATCCAACCCAAATTCCCAATTTAAAAAAAACATACACCCACACAAATTTTAAAAATTTGGGAAACCTTTTACGGACAAATTAAGGGGGAAACATCATCATTCTTATAAAATTTATCCAATAATATTTTTAAAATTAATCAACGAGGGATTCTTTTTTTTTTTTGAAGTTAGGGGGAAACTCACTATTTTTTTCAAAAGTTTTTTGGGAAAATTTGGGGCTTTAAAGCGGCCCAGTAGCAGAGGCCAGGGTTTATGGTCAGAAAAATCGCTCATTAAATGAAAATTTGGAGCCGAAACAGATAGTTATTCCCCCCAGTTAGGGGAGGATTTAAAAATATTCTATTTTTTTTAACTTTTACTATATATAAAATAAAAAATATATATTAAAATTTTATATATATAATATAATTTTAATATATATATATAATATATATATATAAAATATATATAAACTGACTCACAAAACGTTTAAAAGACACTAAAATTTAAAAAAAAAAACCATACCACGGGGGGGGGGTAAACCCGCGACAAGAAATTACTCGGTTCTATCCCCGCCCTGGTATGGTTTATATTTACATTTTATTGGAACAACAAAAAATTAATATTTCCCATACACCTGGCAGGAAATTTCATCACCATTAAAAACAAAGCCATTTTTGGTTAAAAATTTTTTTTTAAAATGAAATTTTAAAAAATGAAAAATTTTTACTATTTTTCATAATTTAGTTTAAATCTGTACACTTCAAATTTCCCCTCTCTGCCCCATCATTTCCCAAAAAAGAGGGCCCCAAAACCCCTGAAAAATTCAGAAGTTATTTAAGCTATTACAGAAGCCTGGTAATGGGTTCAGAATCTGGGTCTAGTGACCATGCACAAGCGTTGAAATTTTTAAGCCGATTGGATTAAGAGCTGGAACTCTGAAGAAAACGAAAAGTTAAAAAAAAAAAAAATCAAGCATTCTCTTGAAGATCCTCCTTCGGGGAATACCCAATAAACCTCGAAACTATAGCAGTAATAGCAGTGGCTTCGTTCTTAAAACACAGCAAGGCTTATTGTAAATGTATACACTGCTGGTTCAGTGCAATACCTTACAGGCTGCACAAGTTTAGCGATTATGACAATAATAACACCGGCTACACTGCAACAGTCTGTACACAACAATGAGCAAATAATTAACTGTCAGAAATTACAACTAAGAGTTAGCATTACTGAGGATGGTGGTCCACTGAGGGTGGTGATCAAGACGCCAAACACTTGCATGAACAGATTCGTCTCCAAGAAGTCTTATCACTTAGCCCGGACTACATTACAGAATCAACTGACAACACTAACTTTCATCGTTTCCTAGAACAGCGGTTTATCTTCTTCATTTAGTGACCTTCCCATATAGATATAAGCTACAACAATATTGACGATGAAGTTAGATTCGGCCGGAGGCAGAGCAACATCTGGGAGATCTCTTCGTTGTAAAAAAAAAAAATGTTTCAGGATATTGACTCCTGTACTAAAGACATCAAGGAAGACCTGAGAGCACTAACATTAATGCTTTAATAAAGATTGGAACACTGCACTGGCAGCACAAAATATTCACTAGACTAATAACTACTGACAGTGATTGCTTGCAGAAACCTGGAAGACTACAAGCAGAAAAAAAGGTAACACAGCTGAACCTCTTGACTCGTTTAAAATTAAAGCCGAGAAAAGCAGGAGGACCAAGACCCTCAACACTGGATAATTAAATGTCCACTTATCAGTAGCTTCAGGCGAGAGCGACATCCAGGGTGCTGTGTTGAAGGTGTCCAGTGTGTATTTACTAGCCAGGGTCTGTTTTGAGTGTCAGGTGTGTACTAGCCAGGGTGCTGTGTTGAGTGTCAGGTGTGTACTAGCCAGGGTGCTGTGTTGAGCGTCAGGTGTGTACTAGCCAGGGTGCTGTGTTGAGTGTCAGGTGTGTACTAGCCAGGGTGCTGTGTTGAGTGTCAGGTGTGTACTAGCCAGGGTGCTGTGTTGAGTGTCAGGTGTGTACTAGCCAGGGTGCTGTGTTAAGAATGGAAACATTAGGACGTGTTTCCATAAGACACCTGTTGTCTATGTTCACCTATCAGTAGAATAGGTACCTGGGTGTTAGTAGACGGGTGTGGGTCGCATCCTGGGACAAAACTGACGTAATTTGCCTGAAATGCTCTGCATAACAAGGGAGCTTTCTATGTAGTAGTATGTCATTGATGTCAGCTAGGCCAGTTTGTGTGGGAGAGGTTGAGCCCAGCCAGTTTGTGGGGAAGAGGGTGAACCTAGCCGGTTAATGATGCCCTAAAACAAAATAATTTAACTAGAAAGGTTAGAAAAAACCAGCCAAGAGAGCATTTGAGACCACTTTTTTTTTTTAACCAAAATAGATATTTATCGACTTTCCACTTGAAAAATGCGCACAATCTGGCAAACGTATTTGGAAACGCTTGCGCAGCGCCGAGTTAATCACGGGATTAGTGTCTTTATGAAGGAATATACTGAATGCTAGAACTTCTTTTCAGCAATTTATACCCTATATTGCAGAGGATAACCTCTGCAACCTCTTTCCCCAGACTCCTTCGTTGGTAAGCCGTTTTCAGATATTTTATGATTTATCCTATCTCCCATTCTCTGTGCATCTGAAGACTGTGGGATTATTACCTTTTTAAATATTCTCTGCTATGATTATGTAGCATGTTGAGGTGGTATGATAAGAGGCTTAGTATCGACTGTTGCTTTATTGTTGTCTCTGTGAATCACGGGAACCTGTGCTTATCTTATCTTTTAGATATGTGGTGGTGTATGTGCTGCCTCCCGGGATAGGTAGGCGTCCCTCACCACTCTGCTGTTTTGTAGAGTGAAAAAAAAATATATCAAGCATCAAAGTTTCTTGGCCTCGGTGACTGATGGTATCAGTGTAGTCAGGTGTTCCTTTGGACTGGAATGTTCAATGACAACTTGAGTATTCATGGACAGATACAGATAAGTTAGGGGGTTGTAGGTTGGTAGATAAAGATCCTGGAGAACGAAACGTTGCCACAATAAAATGTCATATTAGTTGCAATTGTGTCCTTTTACTTAGCAACACTTCAGGCAAGTAATACGTGTCTCGTGTGAATCACCAGGCAGTAGACTGATAAAGAGCAGCTGTTAAGGAAGAGTTCTACCCTCCTTTCTTATGAATTTGAAACAGGTAGAAGGTTGGTAGGCAGCAACCATCCAGTAAGTTAATATCCTCCTCAAGAGTAACACTGAAAGTTATCAAAAGTTCTGCAGTGTCTCATGAACACTTCTGCTATAACGTAAATCTCACAGTATTGTACTTACATTTTGTGTCTCATTCCTTTAATATCTACTCTAATTTATTTGGTCTGCTCTGAGACTGGAGTGATGATCCGAGGAACTCTAATAGATCACTAATATAACTTAAGATCTTTTGAAGGAATAGAAATAATAGCTATGCATGTTTCTGATATACTGAATTTAATTTTTCACCTTAATTTTTCACCCTATCATCAATTTCAGAACCTACCCTGGAATCTAGATAGTTTTTTAGCTTTTGGGAGTGGGGGAGGCAGAGGACATTCAAGTGACCTCTTTAGAGTACACTTAGTAAATACATCATTGGAAAACTCAGTAATATGTACTTTACGTAAACCTGTAAAGGAGAAAAGTGGCTCTTCTGTAAAGATCAGTGTGTAAACCACTCTTACACAACTAACTGTTCTCACACTTGCACAACGCATGGGGACTATGTAGTTGACGGCTCACCAGAGCTTACTGGATTTGACTGAGGTGAGCGAAGTTTTAAAAGTTCGCCAAAAGATGTTCGTGTGCCTTCTTAGACATGTCTGTACCAGTTACCTTGTGAGACACATTCTCACGCTGCTGAAAAATACAAGGTACTTTTGTCTGCAATATACTGAAGCATGCAGAATTATACTTTAGATGCCCAATGAGTGAACTATAGGTAATTAAAAATTAAGGTAATACATTCGAGCAAATATGGTGGGTTTTACACAAATTTTTCAATGAACGGGGAAAAAACTACTGGGCGAATGTTGCCGTGGAATGTTTAATAAAACGCGGTTGGTAGGTAACCATTGTGGTACTGTTATCCGATAGGAGACACTGGTGATAAGGAAGATCTGTATCAGGTGAGTGCAGGCAGTATCTCCAGTGATATCGCACTCTAGTGTTCAGGCAACTCCCGTGTTCAGGAACGGCAGGTGTTGGGGGGAATATTACTCTGATGTGCAGCGTAGTGGTAATACCCCATGTCCCGACAGCTGTAGCAACACCCCATGACCCGTCTGCTGCAGCAACACCCCATGCCCCGTCTGCTGCAGCAACACCCCATGTATAGCGTACAATATATAGTGTAGATAGGGGAATATCAAGCGACTGGCACTAGCGAACTATTGCCAGAGGTCCAGTGAAGTGTTAATAACGGATAAGTAACTACTATAGTCATAAGATATGAAACGAGTGGTGGTAGCATTGAGGTGCAGGGAATCACAGCATACATAAATTGAGCATACAACCGTTACCTCTACTAAACAGGAAATAATCTTTTCCATAGAAGTGTAAGGTAAAGTTAGCGTAAGCCTAGCTGCTGTGTAAACAATAAAACAATGATCCCAGTATAACGCAGTGAAAAGTGTATTTTGAAAGAATACAGTGTATATCCTTGAGATAAACAGTGTACAGCACTACATAAAAGGAATTTAAATAATAATAATAGTAATAAAAAAAATAATAGTGAAGTGTGGCAGTGTGGGCAAGTCTGCCCGGCTCACACCCACCCTACACCCACCACCCACCCTACCCCCCACCCACCCACCCCACCACCCACCCTACACCACCACCCACCCAACCCCCACCCTACACCACCACCCACATACGGGCAATTTGGTTCTTTATAAATACATCTTGCATATTACTGGCACCAGCAAAGAAAGGTAAAGTGGAAATCAGTTTTCTTCCGTGGCATACAGTGTAGTAGGATACAGACAGGAAATGTCAGCACAGCATACTGTGGACATGTAAAAAACCCTTTGGAAGGAAATCCAGAATCACATCAACCTATGCTCTTCCAAACACCATATCTCTTGTACTAGACTAAATACAGCCTCAAAAATGACCTTGAACTAGCAAGGTGCTTCTGGTTGTGCAATAAAGATGTAGAACTTGGGCAGGTATCAAAAAGGTACAAAGGAGAGTAATAAATGAACAAATAATCAAGAAAACAAGGATGACCTTTTGGGATATCTCCCAAAAATATATAAAACAGGGGAGCAAGAGATAGTGTATCAAAAAATGCAGAATGTCCATACCACAACAGATGACTCGAAACTATGTAGTCACCCACATGGTCTAAGCCAGACCCATCCCCCAGTCATAGCACTAATACCCCCCAATGCTGGTGCTGGCCCAGGCTCCCCCAGGCATAGCACCAATACCCACAGTGCTGGTGCTGGCCCAGGCTCCCCCGGGCCCATAGCACCCAATACCCACAGTGCGGGTGCTGGCCCAGGCCCAGCCGCTGACCCAGGCCCCAGCCGCTGACCCAGACCCTGCCCCACCCCCCCCCAGCCCCATGCTGACCCAAAACCCAGCCCCCACCTTTACTGCCAGCCCAGACTCTCCTAGGGACACTACCCAAACCACCACAAAAACAGTAAATATACAACCATCTAAAACCGTAAAATACAACCATCATTGCACAAGACCGTGGCCCACAGTACAGATGTTGGAGAGGAGTCTCCTCCTCCTTCCTCTACTGGGGAAAGTAGATGGAATCCGGGACGGGGTGGCCTGGCTTGGATACTGAGATTATAGTGCAGTCTCAGAACCTGCAGAAATTGACAACACACCTCCCAACAATTCTCAACCAAAGGTGAATTTGTGCAAATATTATGCTTGGGGCATCTGTAAGCATGGAATAACAGGGGAAAAAAATGGGACATCAACTTTGACCATCCCAAAAAATGTAGCGACCTCCTGTCTAAAGGATGTGTCGTTCTTCTTCCTGTACTTTCTTTCACACCAAAAATGTGCCACTCCTGGGTCCTCCAGAAGCAGTGTTACAACATCAGTGCCCTGCATACCATCTAAAAAGGGACCAGGAGGCACAGACCCCACAAGACAAACAATAGTAGCTACGACAACCCAACCCCCGGGTGATTTTTTAGTGGCAGGAAACAAAAAAAGAAAAATGGAAGGAAATAACAAAAATAGTCCACCACCTTGGAGCCTTGTAAAACTGGAGGCACAGCCAGTGGCCACCCATGGCCCTCCAAAATTACAACAAACTGATGCCAATAACAAAATCCCCCCAACAAACACAGAATACAACCTCGTTCATATTTGCTAATATACAGGGCCTTAAGCCATCCACAAACAAAAAAATACCTTTTAATCAGTGGACTTCTAGTGGAGTCTAATGCAATGTTTGCAGCTTCACAGAACTCACACAAAGATCACTTGACAGTGAAAATGGATAAGTGGTTACAACCTTTTTAGATGCAAACAGAAAAAACAGGCAACAAGGGGGGTTGGCCTGTATGTCAAAGAAGTCCCTTATCTGCACGGAGTTGCTGAACACCACAAATGAGGTAGTTGAATTTCATCAATAAAGATCGAGAACCAAAACCTAGTCATTGTGGTTGTATACAAGCCACCAGATGCAACCTCACAACAGTTCAAGGAACAGCTACTGAAAACGATTACTGTTTGGAAAACCTTCCAGCTCCATCCCCAAACATCTTACTGCTTGGTGATCCAACAACCTAAGGCATACAAAATGGAAGAATGTAGCGAATAATGTTATAGCTGAAACAATCCCCGGAGGTAGCGCAGATGAAAGGTCACACACACATGAGCTACTAAGTCTCTGCAAAAAACACACCTTAAGCCAGCAGATAGTGGAGCCAACAAGACTAGAAAACACACTTGACCTTATCTTCACAAATAATGAGGACCTGATAAGAACATAAGAATATCAAAAACAACTAATTCCGATCACAATCTAATCGAAGTCCAGACGTACATGCATAGGGGTCCTGAACAGCAGAATGCATGTACCTGTGAAGGTGTCTTCACAAAATACAATTTCTGTTCTTCAGGATGAATGTACTTCAGTGGCCAGTGAAGGTAAGGGTACTACTGCCCCTGCTAATGGAGGTAAGCGCATTCTTGTGGTTGGTGACTCTCAGGTAAGATATATTGACCGTGCTTTTTGTAATAGGAATAAGAAGATGAGAGACAGAGTGTGCTTCCCTGGAGCTGGTGTTGGGGACATTGTCAACAGGCTGGATAATATCACGTCAGGTAATGGGAACAAGCCCATTATCTGTCTCAGTGCTGGTGGAAATGATATTGGGAAGGGTAGGAGAGAAGAGCTGCTAGATAAGTACAGGTCAGCTATAGATTTCATTAAGTCTAAGGGGGGATCCCAATCATAGTAGCATCTTGCCTAGAAGGGGAGTAGGAAATGAATGGTTGTCTAGGGCAATTGGTGTAAATTGCTGGCTAGACAGATACTGCAAGGAACTTGCCAATCCCATTCATTGACAACTGGAACAACTTTTATGGCAAACAAGATATGTATGCAAGGATGGGGGTACATCTCTCTGGGGCTGGGTGGTTAGCACTTGCAGACTCGATTGAGAAGGCCATTGGTGAAATGCCTATGATTTTAAACTGATGGAAGATAGAGGTATGGGTGTGTGTGGGAAACAAGCAAGGTTGCAACACTTGGGTTGGAAACAGTAAATGTATAAAAAAGGGATTCAGCATGAAGTTATAAATAAAGACAATAGATCAGGTCAGCAAACAAGGGGGACAGCAAGGGCAGCAAGGGACTAGCTCCCTTAGGTTTACTATACTAATAGCAGGAGTGTAAGAAATAAGATAGATGACTAAGATTAATTTCAAGTGCAGGAAACATAGATATTATTGCTATAACAGAGACCTGGCTTAATCTGAAAGATAGAAGATGCCCTCTGAATGTCACATACAAGGCTATAAATTATTCCACACTGACAGGGGTCAACAGGAAAGGTGGTGGAAATAGCGATGTAAAGTCAGAGACAATTTAAATTGTTGTTTAGACAAGATATTTAAAATTAGAGGCGCAGCCACTGAATCTGTTTGGTTACAGCTTCTCGAGGGCCGAGAAAAACTAATTTTGGGTGTGATTTACAGGGCCCCCCAAATCTTGATAGGGAGTGCAGTAAACTTCTATGGGACGAAATTCGTAAGGCATCTACATACGAAAATGTTGTGCTAATGGGGGATTTCAACTATAGACAGATTGACTGGAGCAATTTGACAGGAAAATTTAGAGTCAGGTGACTTTTTTGATACGATCCAGGATTGTTTTTTAAAACATTTTTTGACAGAGCCAACTAAGGGGAAATAACCCCTTGACTTGGTTTTTTGCCAGTAGGGAAACACTAATTAATAATCTTGAGGTTAATGATGAGCTTGGGAAAGTGATCACAAATCACTCATTTTAATATATCATGGAATTCCCCCAATAATGGCAATCAAGTCCCCCGTCCCTGACTTTCGCTTGCTGATTTCATAGGACGAAAAATTACTTAGGTGGGCTGAACTGAATGACCTGACCCAAAGGGGCAGGTAGGTGGGATGGTTGCCGATATGATGCTTTCCAGGGCATAGTTTCTAGCTGCTCAGTCAAATTAAAGTTCCAAATAGGGAAATCAGATCAAACAAAAATGATCCTAAATGGATGAACAATAGATTAAAATATCTGATTGGTCAAAAGAGAGGCATATATAGGCAAATCAAAAAAAGGAAGGTGCAATTGAGAAATCGAAAAATTCAGTTAAAGAAGAAATAAAAAAGGGGAAATTTGAAAAGCAAAAAAAAGATTATGAGTTAAAGTTGCAAGAGAATCGAAGACTAACCCAAAAGGATTCTTTCAGGTATACAGAAGTAAGATCAGGACAAGATAGGCCCACTCAAAAGTTCCTCGGGTCAGCTCACTGACAGTGATAAGGAAATGTGTAGAATTTTTAACACATACTTCCTCTCAGTTTTTACACAGGAGGATACCAGCGATATTCCAGTAATGATAAATTATGTAGAACAGGACGAATAAAACTGTGCACTATTAGGGTCACAAGTGACATGGTCCTTAGGCAAATAGATAAATTAAAACCTAACAAATCCCCAGGCCCTGATGAACTGTATGCAAGGGTTCTAAAGGAATGTAAGGAGGAGCTTAGCACACCTTTG